TTGTTCCAAAGTCACCGAAGAACACCCTGGATGACGAGACGGAATCCGACAATCATCCTGGTGATCGACCTGCGCTTCCAAGGCGACCAGTGATGCGGCCTGTTCTCACATCCAACGATCGGTGGTTTGTAACATATGGATCGGATACGAACATCAGCCTCCAGAAGGAATCCGTGCACCCAGGACCATTCGGAAACTCAAAATTCCTGACTTTTGTGCACGAGTACTACAAGGAATGCTCAAACATCCTCGATGTCAATCCGGACTTCCACTTCGTTCCTGAGCACGAGAGACCACATGGAGTTAAGGTATTCTGGTTGAAGGCAAGATTCAACGATTACTGGCATCCAACACTCCAAGGTGAAGGACCTCATGCAGAGAAGCAATACATGGACTTCATCAAGAAGGTCTACAGCATTTGCTGCTACAGCAATGCTCAATCCGAAGTTTACGGAACCGACATCATCCCGATGGTATGCCACAACGGCAACATTGATCTCGATAAGACCGTCCAGAATGTCGAACAGGTTTGCAAATATTTCCGCATTGAAACATCCAAGGCGAAACAGATCACAGATCTCATCCTCTGGCGAATTGAGAGAATGAGCAGATCGTTTTCCGAATGTCTTCGACATGATCCAAGGCATGGAATCCATAAGGAATGCAAACGGCAGGTGAAAATGGGTCCTGATGGATCCGTCGAGCTCTATGACGCATTGACCTGCATCACACATGCCAGGAACTTCATTGGAAACAAGCCAGGACTTCTCTTGATGGCTATGTTCCCGAGCTATGGAAAATCACGTTTCGAAATTGCGTTCGTATTTCCATCCGTGGACGGGACATATAATGAGCGCAAGGCACGGGGAGAAATCGTTCCAAGGAATCGATGGATCGACAAGCTCAACACCAGATCCGCACAAAATGCACTCAGGCCCGATGGCAAGGACTTCTATGTTGATCCAGAGATGGAGTTCTATGTGAGATGCAACAGCGGACATACACGACAAGTCGATATCCAATCCTTTGGACGACCCCTGTACTCTGAGCAGAAAGAGCCTCATTATGACGAACCGGACTATGATCTACCAACGGAATCCATTCCGCCAAGTCCGCATCCGTCAAGATCCGAGGCGCCTCATGGAGATGAAAGCACAGCTCAGCCCAAGTACAGAATGCGAAGGCCGGCACCACCATCCGTTGAAGAAGAGAGAAAGATCAAGCCGTTCTCGAAGAAGCCCATCACATTCATGTTCCATGCAACCTATGGAAATCAGCTCTACAGCATCATGGAGCACGGGCTCAAATCTGGGAAATCCCAGTCAAACCCTTCGGGGAGAATGCACGTCCACATGGCATGCATCGATGACGTCATCCTCGAAGACGATGAGTCAGAAGCCGCATTGACCCATGTGCCAGCAGGAAGAGATGCACTGTTGATCCTTGCATTTCTCAAGGACCAAGACTATGGCATCCGTCTCTCCGAAGAGAGAACAGCGTTGACAGACAAAACCATCGAGGCAAGAAACATTGTTGCAGCATTTGAACCCGATGGCAGCCTCATGGCGAGCAACAAGTGGATCATGAAGAAGCATCTCGATCATGAAGATTACGAGATGTACGACACCAAGATCCGCGAATTCGCCGATGCCTTCTTCAAGCATGTGAATTCCACCAAGCACAACAAGGAAAAAGATACTTCCTCAGAGACCAAGAAGAGACGGCATTCCACCGATCTCGGACTGCACTGAAGGAGAAATGATGGAACCCTCCGGGGAAAGATCCGTCAAGCCGAAGGTCATCGTGGAATATTACAACTCAGAGAACCTAGATGAGTTCATCCAAGAACTCAAGGGAATCTATCTCGAAACAGATATGAACAAAAAGGACGCAGAGGAAGAGCTCGAGGGGATCAAAGAAGAACTCAAACGCTTCATGAACCAGTTCAACAAAGATCCGAAAAGAGCTCATCCCAATTTGACAGAGTGCGAGAGAGCCTCATTGGCACATGTCGATCCTGATGTCAATCTCGGTGAAGAAGAATTCTACTTCCCTCATCGAGGAGAATGTCCCACCGTTGACGAGTACAAGCAAGCTCAACCAGGATCCGGATATCCGATCAAGCTACCGCTTGGACTGAAGAAGCTCAGGTCACAAGATGACCCGAAAATCATCCGAGCCTATGCCGATATCCTGGGATCGCTGATGCAGCCGACTGACCGTCCTTCCGTGGACTGTCTCAACATGCATGAGTTCACCTCATCCACAGCGATCAGTATGCTTACCCTGAACCATGGAAACGAATCCAAAGTTGGACAACAGGGAGGTGTACAACATGCCGATGAAGGATCGACCGATCGTCAAGATGATGATGCAGAACAGTGCACACATCTTATGCCTGAATGAAGCAGACGCATTCTTCAGTCTGAATGATGAGAAATCCAGGGAGCTCATCAAGACGTTCATCCGATACGGTTACAAGGGCATCGCGATCAAGCAATGGTCATCCAGACCGATCGCATGCTTTGTCCGCGGCGGACCCTCTGCACGAGTGGAGCTTCTGGCAAGACACATTTCCACCAGGAGCCAGAATTGGGGAACCACATTCGGAATGTTCAGATGTTTCTTCGGAACTAAAGGAGATGGCACTGATCCCGAATACGAAATACCGACCTCGGATTGCGTGGCAACCACAGGAACATCCATGTTTACCGAACCCAAGAAGTACATTGGATCGAGATTGCCAGCGCGCACCATTGTCCAAGGACATGGCCGAGACAAGGAGATCGTCGTTCTCCACATCGAGCAGAGTGATGAGTTTCGTGGCATGATCCCGAAATCATCCGACAAGTCACACCGCGAGTATGACGACCGCCACATAACGAGGGCAGATCTACCATTCGCAACCATTGGAGTCTTCCACATCCATCCTTCATAGCCATGGAGCAGCAAAGGAAGATCTTCAGAATGAAATCATGCCGCTCGTGACCTTGTACCGATGCGATGCGATCACCGGAGACGCCAACAAATCGGCGAACACCTACAGCAAACTCCAGCATGTCTACAATCCGACCAACGGTCTCGTGAACATCCTCATGAGAGCATATCAGAGACTGTGGAATGCAACGAAGAATTTGCCACTCGTGGACAGAATGGAGTATGCCATGGAGACTTCGTGCACCCTGAAATCCATTGCCCGTCATCACCTGCACATGAAATGCGGATCAGGTTTTGATCGAACATTCCCAGATGTGATGATGACTATCGTATTTGGATGGGGCAAAACGAACATCCAGCAGGATTTCCGGAGGTCGAGATGAACGGTATGGATGATGAACAACTGGAATTCATACGGAACCATCCAACCAAGGCCATATTCGATTACCAGGTCTCATCCGCAGAGCGCTACAAGCACGTGAGCAATGAAATGTTCATGAACGGCTCGCAGGACTCCGACTCCCACAGTCCTCTCATGATTTACATCCGCAGCAAGTCTGCAACCAGTAAACGCAGCTCTGAGAGATACCAGGAGTACGTCAAGAAGAAGCAATCATCCTGGACCACGCAGGAGTACAAGGACTACAACAAGCAGTGGGGATATCAGAAGCAGTGGAAGGACTATAGCACTTCGACCTGGAATGATTATGGAGACCATGGCAGTCAATCCGACAGCCGCCGATGGTATCGTCGATCCGACTGACCATGAAGATACAATCAGCACCACGAGCAATCCAGATGATTGATCCTCCTCGTCTACAAGACTATACCATGAGTGAGAGATCGATAGTTTCACAATTGTTCCGCGTGTACATAGCGTTGTACATCACCCTTTGATACAACTAGGTATCCAAAAAGAAGCGTACATAGTGTTTCCCATTTCGAAGGCCAAGACATTTCATCCAAGCAGAAAAAGGATGAATCCGGCACTTTTAATCACATGGCTACGGCACACATCAAGGCTACGGTCAAAGGCCATGAAGCCAATAGTATTTCATACTTTGTGCTGGAGATCAAAAGAAATTTGTGTCTGTTTCGTGTTCTGTTTTTCAGACCATTGATCTCCCGCAACATTTGGCTCAAGGGCCCCTTTTGCATAATCACGACCATCCGAGCGTGAGGACAAAAGAGCCATTGCAGGCCGCTTACAGGATTATCCACAAGACAATCCACCAGGGACAATCCATCCTCCAATCATCCATTACTGGCATATTGGACTCTCTCCGGAATAGATCCAGGGACCAACAACGACCTCAACTAGCACAGGGTTCCAGTTCCCTCCGGGGATAGGCACCTGGGGCAGTGGGCCTCACCCCCCCCCTCTACTTTTCAGACTTTTTGCAGAGATTGAATTGCACCCCGAATCATCACTTCTGCGAACATCGTGGGGGGGGCTGCCGCCCCCCCAACCCCCCCGCTACTTTTTAGTGATTTTTTACAGGGACTGACATGCCCTTTTAATTGAATCATCATTTTTTTGACCCCGTGAGCCCGCCAGCTCCTTTTTTTTCTTCTTCTTTTTTCTTTCTCGATTTTGTTGCCCACGAATTGTTGGTGATGCTAGGGATGTTAGTCGGACATGCGGGGGATGTTGAAAACGATGCTGGGGATGTTGACGGGCTAGTGTAAAATGCGTCAATTTCGCGAGAAAATGCTGTAAATGGCCCGGACGAAAAACGAAAAAAGATCCGGAAAAACATCCCAAAATAAATCCGCACCCATTTCCTTTTGCTTTCGAGGCATGTGTGATGTGCTTATTTGCATTTAGGCTTTGTTTCTCAGAGTACGGTAGTATTCAGTGTGAGCGTTGCATATGAATGAGCCCTCTACATGAATTCGCGGTGCTTCCCCTGTCCGGTCTTTAACAACTGTTGAATTGAAGAAGTCATACTGTCAGAGCGGAACCTTGCCACTCAATGTCATAACCTGAGCTTTGGACATTGGCTGCGTAGCCATTTTGCTCGGCTCCGTTTGAATCAAGCGCATCCCTCGGCAACATGGCGATGGAAGAGACTCGTGACGGGAGGATCGTGGATGGCAAGATCGAGCTCTCGACAGCTTTGTGGGAGACACAACTGGAGATTCCCGACCGTCAGGAGGGGAAATGTTCGATTCCGGCTGAAGAAAGAATCAGTTTCCCGAACATGCCTGGCAAGGGGCATGCCCTTTTGGGTAAAGAGAAGCTTAGCCTGCCATGGGCAAAGTTGGCTTGAACTAACCAGACCCTAGTAGCCTTTTTTGCTTTAGGGGGACCAAAAGGAGGTTGCAGCCACAAGTTCACAGGACTCAGGTGTTTAACGTGGCCCCTGAGGATCCTTCGGAGGTTGATGTCAGGGATGCCAACACACCGGACAAGTGGATCAAACGGCATCCGGCCATGCTGCGCAACACTGGAGCCCATCCCTTCAACTCCGAGCCGCCGCTCAAGCCCTTGCAGGAGGCGCAGGGGAACATCTCCCCCTTGTTTGCGTCAAGACCAAGCCCAACTCTCTAGGGGTTGGTGTACGCCGAGCGGCTCTGGAGGTCGATGTGCCCTCTCTGTTTTGCCACAATGCCGGGCCAACGTGTTGTGCTTTTTCGGAGAACCCAACATTCCTGGCCCAAAATTCTCGCCCCCAAGTCGAACCCCGAGGCAGGGTGGATCACGCCCCCCTCTTTGTACGTGGTGCGGAACCATGGCGCCGTTCCGCAGCTCTCCTGGGCCGAGCACCGCCTCAAGATCACAGGAGCGACGCTAGACCCACTTCCAACTGGATATCATGTTCCCCATGTTGAAAGACGTGGTACCCTTTCTGGGGTTTGAAAGGCAGCTTCAGGAATACCCTTAAGGAATACCGGTTCCATGTCCACAACACCATCGGTGGGCGTGCGTCAAACCGCTGTGACAATCAAGGGAGCAAACTTATGCGTCTAATGTGCTTGAGGTGTGAAACAGGGGCCAAAACGGAGCCTCGCAAGGTACTTGGACGGGAAGGAGTCACAGGGGCCGCCTGCATCGATTGAAATTGGTCTGGCCTCCAATTCTCGTTTGTACGTGTCAAACTGGGGAAGCCTCCAAATGATTGGTTTCGATTTTGCTGGATTCCCTTCAACGAGGGTCCCCAAGCTCTCGGATTTCGATTTCCCAGGAGTTCCCAAGCCAATCGACCTCAGCATGGATCAGCTCGCATCTGGAGAGTGGGGTGCCATTGCCTCTATCCCAGTGACCTTTATTTGCGCTGGCAACCGTCGCAAAGAGCAGAACTTGACCAAGAAGACTGTTGGTTTCGACTGGGGTGCAGGCGCAGTTGGCAACTCTGTCTGGACTGGAATCCGACTCTGTGATCTGCTTGCTGCCGTGGGCATTACTCGTGCGTCGAAGGAACATCGCTTCGTCCACTTCGAAGGGCCTCTTGGTGAGCTGCCCCAAGGGAAGACCGGCTCTTATGGAACCTCCATTGACATTGGCTGGGCACTGGACAGGGAGAGAGATGTCCTGCTAGCCTTCAAGCAGAATGGAGAGCAGTTGACGCCGGACCACGGCTTTCCCTTGCGAACGCTTCTGCCTGGGTGCATTGGTGGGCGCATGATCAAATGGCTGACCAGCATGTGGGTTTCGGACCAGCCCTCCGAGAATCACTACCACTACTTTGACAACCGGGTGTTGCCACCCCACGTGGATGCCGACCTTGCCTACGCGGAGGGTTGGTGGTACAAGCCCGAGTACATCATCAATCACATGAACATCAACTCGGCCATGTTCGAGCCGCGCCACAATTCATTCGTGAAGCTGGATGCGCCGCCAAAGACCGTAAAGGTGAGCGGGTATGCTTACACGGGTGGAGGCAGGACATGCCATGTTTCGACGTTTCGTCCAAAAAAGGTGTAGTTCCTTCCCTTTCCAGACTTCTAGCTCGACCCTTGTTAAGGTTCTCTTCGATTCTTTGGGCCAAGTTTGTGAGTTATTGTTAGGTTCCCCTAGGTGGAGTTAGCCCTGTTACCGGAATACAGTCGAAGAGAAAGCGAGGCAACAAGATCATCCGCGCGGAGATCTCTTTGGACAGTGGCAAGTCTTGGCAGATCACGGACCTCACGAGGTTGGAATCGATTCTCTAACCGCCAAAGCAATCGAAAGGGGGTGAAAAGGGCCTTGGACCACTCAAAGGCCGGCAAACTTGGGAGGTTGTCAAACATATGGCCCCTTTCGGACCGCCTTCAAAGGGGGTACCCACAAATGCTTTCACTTTCAACTTCCGTCGCAAGGCCGGAGGACGAGATCGCCGCAGCCCGTGGCACGGACAAACACTGGTGCTGGGCCTGGTGGGAGACGGAGGTGGACACAGACCTTCTGGGCTCCTGCGAGGAGATCTCTCCTTAGTGTATGGTAGGGAGCGCCCCGGGCCATTCTGTTGAACCACCGTTCTTTTTGAAACACCAGCCGTTTCCAGTGTTTGTTGTTGTGGTTTTCTGGACAGAAGAATGCCTGGAACGAATGCGGAAGTTACCTTATGAATAAGGAAGGTATGGAAGGGTGGGTCTGGCGGGCAATTGTAATTACCACCAATGAAGGGCCCTTCACGATACATGTGCCGATAGTAGGCACAAGGTGGATCCAGTATTGAGGGATATTGAGGGAGGGCCTACAATTATGTGTGGGGATAGGAGATTTGCTGCCGCGCCTTTGACTCCAACCAGAACTCCCAGCCGGTGCAGCTCACTTGGTCAGTGATGGGCATGTTGAATAACCCCATCTATCGCATCAAGATCCACAGGGAGCGCGGCATGCTGTGGTTCGAGCACCCCACGCAGGGCTCCATGCCGGGTGGCTGGATGACCGAGGATGCGGGCAAGTTCAATGACGGGTTCGCCGTGCCGGCCACACCCGGCAAGACTGGCGTGCAACCTTTGCGGCCGGTGGCAGCCACTTGGAAGGGAGCGGCGTCGGCAGGGGCGAAGGCCGCGAAGGCTGTTGTTAAGCCTACCACCGCCGGCAAGTTCGTGAAGTCCACGGAGTCATGGCTCACGGAGGGAATCACCATGGAGGAGGTGGCAAAGCACAACAACGAGAAGTCGTGCTGGTTCGTCGTCAAGGGACAGGTGTATGATGGCACGCCCTACCTGGAGGACCATCCTGGGGGTGCTTCCTCCATGCTGCTGGCTGTCGGCATTGACGCATCCGAGGATTTCGAGGCAGTGCACTCTTCGCGAGCCTGGGACATGCTCAAGGACTACTACCTCGGCCCCCTGAAGGAAAGCGAGTCCAGCGATTCGAGTTGGTTGGATGGCTTGTCGAGCGTCTCGCACGGCGCGCTGAGTCTTTTTTCCGGGTTTCTGGAGACCCTTGCGGCGCCTGTACGTGCTTTGGCAGGCCCGGCATCCTTCCTGGACCCCAAGAAGACTCAACAGCTGTGCCTCTCCGAGAAGATCGTGGTGAACCACGACACCCGCATCTTCCGCTTTGCACTGCCTTCTGCCTCCATGCAGCTGGGCCTGCCCACTGGATTGCATATGATGCTCAAGGCTCAGGTCGACGGCAAGCCAGTGATGCGGGCCTACACGCCTATGACAGATGACAGCACGCTGGGCCACGTGGACCTCTTGGTGAAAGTCTACTTCAAGGGCGTGCACCCCAACTTCCCGGAAGGCGGCAAGATGTCGCAGCACTTGAATTCCATGGATATCGGAGACTCCATCGATGTGAAGGGCCCCATCGGAGATTTCATCTATCTTGGCAAAGGGCACTACACCTTGCATCATTGCCAGACTTAGCTAACCTGCGTGTCACTGTTTACCGTTTTCCCCCCAAGGATTCTTTATTTTCCTTGTGACCCTCTTTGGAACAGTGGAAGCTGACAGAAGGAGGTTGGAGCTCAGTCCCTTTGAATTGGCCCCATGTCTTTGGAAAGAGGAAAACCAACAAGTGTAGTCGAGTCTAAGGCATGGACAGCCGCGCTTCTGCACAGAGATCTCCATGATCGCCGGAGGCACCGGGCTCACGCCTTGCTACCAGGTGCTCGCAGCCATCCTGCGAGACCCCGAGGACACCACAAAGGTGCAGCGGCCTTTGGTCGCAGGGTACTCCCCAGAGTGGCCAACATCTCTTGCGTTCAACGGAACCCGAAATGGGGTTGGTTCTCTTCTTTTTTGGCTAATTTCTCACTAAAAGGGGATCAAGCCAAGCAAGGGTGCAGCACAATGCCCCACCAAAACTCGAGTCAAAGCCCCAAAATTGCCGGGTTCAGGGCCTTTTTTTTCCTGAACGGGCCAGGGGTCCTCGCAGGGGTGGCCGCTTCTGTCTAAAGGGGGGAAAGGTCAGGTGGTGCAACATAGGTGCGGCTCTTGTATGCCAACCGCAGCCCGGGGGACATCCTGGCCCGGGAGATTCTGGAGGAGCTTGCGGAAAAGCACCCGGAGCGCTTTCAGCTGACGTTGACGGTGGACAAGTTGACCGAGGCATCCTCAGGTTTCTCAAATTGGTGCATGACCCCGTTTTGGTTGGTTTTTGCAGGGAAGCCAAGAGGTTTCAACTATGTTGGGGGACCCTTGTTTTGACTAGGTGCCCTAGTAGTGCCCTTTTACTTTTTCTTTTTTTTTGTGATGCTTCCCCTACTAAAATAGACTACAGAAAAAAGGGTACCCTTATTCTAGCCTCTCTACTGGAAGACCTATATAGTTGAGAACCACTCTGGGACTCCGGTTTCTGGTCAAGCAGGATTCCTGCGGCCCGAATGGGGGGGGTGCTTTCGAGCAAAGGGGCAAGGGACCCCGTCCCGGGCAAAGCGCCTGAGCTTCCTTTGGCTGACATAGTTTTTGCTGTTTCTAGGGGTGCTCAAAGTCAGAACATGGGGTTGTTTCCAGTTAACCCAGGACTTGGGGGGGACTTTGATCAGTCCAAAGTAATTAATGAGGTCAGTCTTGGATGCGTGCCAAACTTCTCCCAACAGAGGTGTCAACAGATCCGCCCTGAGGCGATCGACGCCAACGTCAGCCCAACTGCTGAGAAGGGAGCGGAGTGGAAGGGCTTCTTGGTTTGCCTTTTCGGCCGATGTGAGCTTCCTTTTGATCATGACCTCCGCTGTGCCACAACCCACCACAATTTGAGAAGGGCTTCTCACTGGCCCAATGCTGACCTTGTCAAAGGCGTGCGTTTCCCATGACCATTTAATATTTCGTAAAAAGGAGATCCTTGATTTTCTGGTGACTTGGCTCAAGCGAGGCTTCGTGGGCTTCGTGAACGAATCGATGGCAAGGGCCTCGCTCTTCCCTGCGGCGGAGACCGGCATTTGCGTCATGTGCGGGCCTCCGGTGATGCTGGAGAAGGCGTGCCAGCCGGCTCTGAAAGCCATGGGCTTCAGTGAGGAGAACATCTTTTCCTTCTAGGGCCGTGGGATGTGAAGATACTATAGCTGTAGAGTATTATTGTCCGTTGCAGCCATGTCCCAATCTGATGTGTCACTTGTTAGATGGGTCAGACTTGCGAGACGTGATCTGGCTCACGGTGCATTTCCTGTTCCATTGTTCCGAAGGACAATGCGAGCACGTGCAGATCACAGGGGGTTGTCCCATATTACTGGAGAACCTTGACTTTTCCGACAACCTTCTACTGATCCATTAGGTTGGTGATCCAGGGGCGGCATGAGCTTCCCAAGTACAGTTTGTCAGGTTGCAACCAATGGCTCTTGCATGGAGTGCAGAGTCAAGTTATTAGATGCTTCCCGACAGGGACACAAAACATCCGGGAACTCGTCGAGTGGTCTCTGTTGGTGAACCAGTGTTCCAACAGGGCTCTTCAATTTGAGGACATCCTCATAACTTTCCGTGGAAATGGCTTGGCAAAGTCGCTTCCCAAGAGCAAGCTTAGAAGCGTGCCAAGCTTCCTTCGTATTCGCATCTTCGGAAACCATTGGATTTATTGAACCAACCAAAGGTCAAGGATCTGCAATAGCTCTTTGGTGCATTTCATGCGGTGCATCCTCTTGAGGGGGGGCCGAATCACTTTTGAAAGGAGCTGCACCCGCTCTATTGATCTTGCCAGATTTCTTGACGGTGTGAATAACTCTCAGGGCTGAGATGCACCTCTGAGGAAAGTGTGAGGCTTGCTTGGTGGCTCCTAACGCTGACATCCAAGGTGAATGTTTGGTTCCTATCTCCCACTCGTGGGCCTTCGAAGCTGACAGGTGATCCTGTCAGAAAATCAACACACGTGCCGTGCTTTTCCATGGCCGGGCAAGTGGCCTCTGCTTGGAAGCGTACCCCCTACTCAAAATACCAGTCCTTTTTCCAGGGTATTTTTGGGGAAAACCTGATTTTCTCGGGTAAATACCTGTTTTTTTAGTAGAGGGTCGACATGCTACCCTGAAAAAAGAGGGTATTTGTAGGGGGTAAGCTGATGACCTGAGTGGTTGGCTAGTCACTCGGCCCTTTGGGTTGCCGAAAGCCATGCCAAAAGTGAGCGAGGCCAGGACGCTCTATGATTTCCGCTCCCCGCAAGCCACAATCAGTGACAACCAAAGGAGAAACAGGCACTTTCCCCGTAAAAAAAGAAGCAGTATCCTATCAATCCCGTTGGTCTAACTTTTTGAGGTGGCGCGGACCTACCAACTGCCAAAGCAACACTGCAAAACTGCCACCCAGGTGGCAGCACTAAGGCCCGCCCAGCTTCAACACTGTCAAGCTCACCTGCCAAAATCTTCAACCTTCCCTGCCACGTTTACAGTGGCAGGGCTACAACCCACTTTGCAAGAGTTGCAACACCAAAGCCTAGTTTTACTGCAAGACGTGTCAAGCCACTGCCAGACTGCAAAGGCTGCACAGGGCTCCAACTACAGTCCTGCCAACCTGCCCATGTTTCACTGCGCTACCCAAGCAAGACTTGACTGCCCAACTACAAACCTGCCCAAGCAAGACTGTGATCTTGGCACGCCACAGTGTTGCTCCCAATTTATTCAAACTCCTTCAGCTCAATTTCAGTTACCCTCCCATCCACAAAGATGGAGCCTGGCTTGGGGGCCTGGTTTGGACCATTTGGCCTTGAAGCCACGGGTGCTTCGGATTCAGCAAAACGCTCCCAGACTTCGCCCTCGATGCGCTGCAGGACCCTTTCTCCAGGGTCGAAGTGGCCGCTCCGGCATGTGGGCGGGGCAGCATAGCATCCGGTCCTCAAAAGAAGTAGCCTTTCAAGCCGGTGTATTTTCAATCCTTGCTGACCTGCGAAAGCGCGCAGCTCGGTTGTACCAGGTCCCCTGAAGCAAGTGGCATGTGAACCCGTTTGAAGGCTCCCTTTCGCCCCGCTCTTGATCAGGGATATACACATTATCCATGTTTTGTGGTGTTAAACTTCATCTTCTGGGCCAGGTCTAAGCGAATTGCCTTGACACGATGTTCATTCACCGGCGGTCCTATTTATCAGTTCCCCGTGCCGTTGTGCCCCCTCCCCCACCCTGCGGGTTCTTCAATAGTTGGCCCAGTTTCCTTGCTTCCTGGAGTTTGTTTTCCTTCAACCAGCCGGACGACTTGTCTCCAAGACTGAGGTTCAGAAGAGGACA